AGTTATCATAGGCATCGGGGCAAGTGGCCACGAGGTGAGGGAAGGACAATACAGCACGCAGATTAGATTGGAAAAACAAAAAACATTCGATGCCGCGGTCGAGGGAATCGACATGTGGGGTGAGTTGTTTTTGAGTAATACTATATGTACGTTGATATCGTGCGAATAAAAAAAAAAAAAAGAGAGAGAGAGAAAGAGGATAAGGGCAGCGTGAGGGGCTCGAAGAGGAGGACGAGAGAGAGAAACCCGACGATGCAGCAGACGAGGAGGAGGAGGAGAGGGCCTTTTCAGCATTTTTTTCCGTCCGCACTCCGCCTGTTTTTCTCCTTCTTCTTCCCGGCTTTATATACATACACGCTATACGTATACATGCAGCCCCAAGGCTCCTCTTCTTCTTCTTCTCGGATTTTTCAAAAGCTCCAGTCGCGCGTGTGTGCGTGAATGTATGCGTGCAAGGGCGAGGAAGAAGGGTGTGTATATACCTATGCACACGCGCAGGGCATTAGGAGCCGGGACGACCCTGGACGCTGTCCGTGAGCGAGGAAAAGTGGGCCCCTTAATTCTTGCGTCTTATTAGTCCCCAAATAAATACCCTCCTTTGTTTTCTTTTTTCCTCGACGAGGGACGAGCAGCAGAGAGAGAGGGGGGGGGGCTGTAGTGTAAGCACGGGCCACGGGTCTTTTTTCGCGTCTGGACTGCTTTCAGGGCAGGATATATTACTTTGTTCCGACGCAGCGGGATTTGGGACCGTCGGTCCTTAATCCTTGTTATTTATGATTTTTTTTTTTTTTTTTTTCTTTTTCGTCCATTTCAGACAAATGTCTATTTTACACGAGATCGCAAATATAAGCGACTCGCAATATTACCTGCATGATCGACAATGCCCCCCTTTTTTATCCTTCGCTCCGTCGACTCTCAAAAAAATAATACTCAAAAGCAACTAAGCAGGAAAAAATAGAGATACAAGTGTATCCGGGAGGTATTTACGCTCGTGCCCCCGGAATATCGAATTAGAGTTTTACGTGGAAAAAGAGCCCCTCTCCCCCTTCGCGCTCGCAATCCCTTTTTTTTTCCCTTTAATAAGAAAAAAAAAGCAGAATCGAGGAAACTCAAAGCCTCGGGCAGTCCCATGCGTGTGCATGCCCGTGACCATTGGATTCCTTTTGGTGGTGGATGTGAAAAATTGAACGAAAAAAAAAAAAAAAAATTGTAGTTCAATCGGGCACTTATACGCAGCATTGATTCGTGGAACATGTCTCTCTCTCTCTCTGTTTGATAGAAGTAGGGAGATTCGATTATTTTCTTTTTTTTTTTTTCGTTTCTAGATTCCTGCTTTGCATGTGCCGGCACATTTATATATGCGTGAAAGGTATATACCGTTACGAGAGAGAGAGAGTTTCTCGTTTTTATTTCTCGAATATTTTTTCGAAACTTTCTCGGTATACAAATAATATATAATAGCACACACGTACAATGTACTTACGCTCTCGTGAGTAATGTATCCTGATGCTGTTATCAGCGTGCAGCACGCGAGCGGTTGTATATGTACGGGGCACCGATCCAATTATTTATTTATCTATTTCAACAGATACACACTCGTATTTTTACATAAAATGTCCGGGTGTGCGCGCGCGAATTTCTTCCTTTCCTGAATGAAATCGACTATAGGGTGTATACGCGCGCAACAATGTTTGTACACGTCAGAGAGAGAGAGTGACTTCGTGTTGTATAATTACACTACGAGTTTATAGATATACGTACCGTCATAGTGCGTCTCGCGTGGCTGTTATCGTACCCGAGTGCGAGAAAGTCATTAACATCTATTTACTTTTCTCAAAATTTATCGTCGCGCTCACACGCTGCGCCATCCAGACGTGATAAGAGGAACATCGTTTAAAAGCCATTTGGTGCGCTTTTATTTTTCTCGCGAAAAAGCACGTGCAACCAACGTCCAACGCTTGTGTGGAGATGGAAACATTTTACGCGCCCTGAATTTTTCGAAAAAATCCCTCCACGTCATCCAAGGGTCAAACGGCGCGATACGCGGTGTATAATGAGTGCCATATTTGTGTTGTGTACACCCTCGATCGAAAGACAAATAAAGTGACGCAACGAATTCGCGGAAATCGTGCACTTTGTAGAGTCGAGAGAAAGGTATTTTTCTTCGTGTACAATGTGATTAGGTTTGAGAATATTATATACACGTATACCAAATGAACATGTCAAGCGACATAATTGATATACGTACACTTGTGTGTTTCAACAGCTGAGTATATTTTCAGAACAGCTATTTTAACATGGGGACAATACCAGAAGCGCTTATGGAGGTAATATTTTGCGAGAGTTGTAAATGATATTCTTTTTTTTTGCGCTTCCTCGTATCAGAGAAAGCTTAAAAAAAAAACAAAAAAAAACGAAAGTTTGCTCAAAAGCGCATGGTGTGTGTGTCTATATGGTACGCTTTAGGCCCAAAAGAGTAAAAATGGACGCTAGAAAATTCCTCAAAATTACTCTTTTCAAAGTAGTAAAATTACTCTTTATAAATGGTAAGTAGTTTTGAAGAAAGCCAAAGTCACTTTTTTCAAAAGAGCAAACTTAAACTTCCTCTTTTAAAAAGAGTGATTTTCGAATATTACTCTTCTGAAAAGAGGGAATCTTCAAAACTACCATTTATAAAGAGTAATTTTACTACTTTGAAAAGAGTAATGTCGAGGAACTACTCTTTCGAGCGCCCATATTTTTTCACCCTTTTGGGCTTGGAGTATACATGAAAGAAACTTTTTTTTTTTCGTCCCCTTGTAAAGAGTTTCAATTTATCAATTACAATTGTGTAACAATAATTGATGAGCAGAATTTGTTTTTTAATCGCAGCGACATGGTGTTTACAAGCGTATCGGGTACCAGTGGGGTATATATGGGTAAGCGCCTACACCCGAGAGCTCATAATATTTGTTTACTCTAGAAAAAACACCTGCACACAAAACCCATTACCATTGTCTGCTTGTGTTATATTGTAATGACAGAAAGCGCTGATATTCGCGAAATTCGATGAATCAAAGTCACCGTCGTTATTTAATTAAACGGAGCATCCCCAGGGGTGAGGGGTAAAAAAAGGAGGGAGGGGTCGCCGTTCGAAAAATACATCACACGCGAGCGCACGGCGGACAAAAGCACCGTGTATGTATACCTTGCCGATAATTCGTGCCGACCAATTAAGAGCCACCCGTTGGAAGAACAATGGGCCGGAATAAAAGTTAATTTCGTGTCCTCTTCCACCTCTGCGTCGTCGACGTCATGGTCGTTTGGGGGAGAAGAGAGAGAAAAAAAAAAAAAAACACTCGACCGAGGAAGGGAGCTATAAATCAAGTCCGCAGGAGACGACGACGACGACGACGAGGAGGATCGATCCGCAGGCTCGAATAATTCATCGCGTGACATACTAATAAATAAGGAAAAAGCACGGGCCGAGCGCTGAGGGGAGACCCCTTCGGATGCAGTACGCACGAGAGCGTGTGTATACGAGTAGGGGACTCGCGTCGCATTCCGCGGGGGGATATTGGTAAAAAAGAGCACCAGAGTGTCCCCTTTCCAAGCCTGTACATTATCATCTGCTGCCTCTCGCGTCTTGTTTATATCTCGCGTATATACATATATATACACGAGTACAATGCAGTAGCTGCTTATGCAGAAAGGGAATGTATATTGGACAAGGATGTGCTTTGCGGTGGTGGCAATAAACTATGCGTTCCTTGTGCATATACTTATACACGATCGGCATTCGTTTGGCTAAACTTTTTGCTCGATTGTTGATACGTATATGCATGTATGAGCGGTCTCGATGTAAATTCGGAGCCAACGCGCTTTTTTCTTATCTCCCTCCCCCCCTTCCCTCGACGCCGAGGGGGATTGTGTGCTCACGTTTTTCACGTTAATTGGGCGCAATGTTAATATAACGATAAGCCCTAAACGGCTTTGCGTATAATTAAACTTTTTTTTTTTGTGTTTATCTCTTATCGCCCAGACACGTTTGAGATTTCGGATGTTAATCGCTTTGTGGACTCGAGAAACAAACAACTTTTCTTTTTCTTCTACGTTTAAGATAGCGAATGGAGGAATTTAACGTCATTAACGATTTTGACCTTTTTTTTTTTTTCGTTTATTTTTTAATTATTTGGCAGAAGGTGAAAATCGTTTCGCCGTAAAAATTTGTATATTCGATACATTTGAACATATTTTAACAATACAACGAGACACGCGAGTACAGTACAATAACAGTATTGTTGTACTATTATTCTTGTAATAATATAGTTCTATCCCGGTGCGCGGCTTTGCACAGTAATTCAGAATTCAGTAAGAGCAAAATAATAATATCTAAAGACGAGTATCTGTACATAAAATCAAAGTACCGGGTAATAATTTTATACATCCAAGCAGCAAACTTTATCGGATGTAGCTGATGATTTCGGAGCTTTCGCGGATCCACTAGCCACGTGTGTTGATAAAAAAAAAGTTTCGGTCCTTTCCCTCGTTACGTGATAATTTATTGCACTACATCACTTAAAATTGAAAAAAAAAAAGGTAAAACTATGGTTGTTTCAACACGATATTCATTGTACGAAAAACTCACCCTCAAGAGCAGCAGCAGGTGCCAGCGGCACGTCGTTTCGCGTCGCATGTCCTCTGGTTTCCTCCTCCTCTCCCGGGAATCCAGCAGCAACGCAGCGCGCGCCAAGCGTTTAATTAACAATACAAAAGAGAGGCTCCAAGAGACTCGGTTTATTTGCGGAAAACCCGCATGCGTCTTCCGTATCCTCCTGTTTCTTGTCCTTTTTTCGTCTTGTTAAACACAGTCATGCATCAATGTGAACTTCACAAATAAAATAAAATAAATAAAGAACTGAACAAACGACGAATAAACACACTCGGACGGACAAAGTGTAAGTAGGCGCGGTGTGTATAGGTGTACAATGCGTGCACTTGCTCTCTCTCGAGCTCGTATACGAGATGATGCTGCAGTAGCCACGTTGAGGAACAAAAAAAGAAAAAGATTTAAGAAGGCACAAAGAGTCGTTCTCCCATGTTTTCCACGTCGCCTTGTCAATGACACTTTAACGTATACTCATAATGAATATGTGCACTGCACGATGTGCGTGTAATTATCACGCTCGCACACACACACACACACACCCACAAACCACTCACTCGACTTCTCTGCTGCACTGATAACCGATGTTGGTATACGTAATACTCTACATACACGTATGTATATATTCTTTTTTACAACATTACATTACACGCACTGGCGAGCTGATGTGTGCGCGTAAAACTCTCAACTTCTTTATCTGTCGTGGAACTCGTGGGTCAGCACAAAAAAAAAAAAAACCAACCAAATAAACAATTAACCATAGTAATCACACGTCAACTTGATATACATGTGTACACAATAACATGCTCGCACGCAGGTTTGTTATAAATGAGAGCAGCGATTGGATGTATAATATGCAGCCGCAATAAACAAATAATTGCACTTGAGTGCTCGGTGCGGGGTGTGTGTATCTCAGCGGACAGACGTGTAGCCCGCCGAGGTTAGCGACTGTTGCTCGCCATGTAGAGAGAACGCTGGCTGCTGCTGCTGCTGTTCTTGGCTCAGGTTTATTAAGACTGACTGATGGCGTCCACACCACCCCACATACCCACACACTTTCTTTTTGTACAATCTCGGGCGCTATACACGCATCACTGATGAAAAAAAAAAAAATAAAAAAAAAAAGAAAAAAAAGATCAACTCTTTGGAGCACGCGCACGCGACACTATCACTATATACTTTTATTTCAATCGCGGAAAATCCGCGAGCGTCGACCGATACTTGATCAAATACTCGAGAGAGATAGAGGCACAGCAGGCGAACATTAGGAGACAGGCACTGTACAACAAACGCGTTTACGTGTGAGAGGCGTTTTGTGTGTATATAGCACGAACGGAGAAGAGGCCGAGAGAGTCTGCTTCGTTCTGGCTGATCTGGGCCTGATTTTTTACACGGTAAGTGTATAAATATACGGTCGCTGCTGCAGCCGTCCGACAGAAGCAGCGCCTGTGCCCGTACTGCGGCTTGGCTGGGCCTGTGTATATTTGTATTATAATTGGTGCCACTACACTCGAGTCTATCTATCCCTGATGTTCTGCAGGTTCTCGGTAATGCTAAGCTAAACTCCGAAACTCCAATCAGTGACTGATGTATTGTTGCTCTTTTCGTTGCACAGTGCACACTGTGGCATTTGGTATAGCGAATGCTACTGCTACCAACTGTGTAACCAAAAGTATACCTATATGCGCCGTGTGTGTGCGCTATGGTGGTGGGAGAGAAAAGTGCATGACTCGATCATTATAATTACGATAATTACTACACAGTAGTGAATAAGTAATATGAAATTTTATGAGCAGGGTAGTTTTCACGTTGAGCATCCTCATGAGTCATGAGTTGGTGAACTTGTATGAATATATGCGGTGAGTCTGCTAAAGTCCGGCGAGACTGTCCGCACTTTCCTGGGCACCAAATGGCACATGGAGAATAATTTATTTTATCAGCACTATCATGTAATTCCTGTGTATTTAATCATTCCTACTCGTGCGTGTGAAAAGTTTATTACGGCACTGTTGAAGATTTTTATGTTCGTGCATGTTTCTTTCAATAAAATTTAAAATACAATTTTTTATGGAGACAGTAGGATTTTTCACATTTTCATAATTGCTCTTGTTTTGGTACCTTTAAACTCTTATGGTAAGGTAAGTTCGATGCTTTGTCGGTCGAGTTTTGAATTTCAAAAAAACCGTCGAGTTTTTTAATTTTCATTTTACAATTCAATGAATTTTTTTTCTTTAAATAATCAAAATATTAATACCAACAGCTTTGAACACGTATTCCTTACGGTTTTTACAGTAAAGCATATATCAATAAAGAGCAAAATTTTCAAATCGATTATCCTACGTAGATGTCGCTTGGGTTTTTCGCGCGTCCGACGGTCTGACCCGTGTATATATACCATATACCGTTCTTTCTCTGTCAAATCAAAATCGGCTTACATATTTTGGCGCGCAACCCATGCACATGAGGTTGTGTATACCTTCTAACTCGCCCGATCGAGAAAAAGGTTCACGTGAATTTTCTTTCATTTCTGCAAATATCGCGCTGTGTGTTGCAAAATCCAAAACACGCGAGCCACTTAGTTCCTCAACGACAGCATCTGGCCATCATCAACCAGAATCAACTTGGTAAGACCCAGTAAACATTTGTTGATTCAAATCACCCATCTACATTAATTAACAATTATAGTGGTGAACGTACAATTTTAGTAACTGCAGTTTTTTGCTACCCTGTCACGAGGAATAAACAGTAGCAACAGCCGTCATGTCGTGGGGTAACTTTGACAGCAGCTCGATGCAGAGTTCGGGTGGCTTCATGGATACCACAATGGGGGATGGGGCTGGAGCTGGAACCGAAGATAAAGGAGGTTCCAAGCGAGCTCAAAATTGCATGCCCGTCATGATATCTCATATCCAAAGGCATGGAGAGAAGCTCACCGTTTGGGGTATGCCGGCGCTCATAGTTACCTTGGTTGCCTTCGTCCGTAAGCTCGAATCTACCAGCACAAAGGTCACATTTGAATTCCAGGACGAGACTGGTTGGTTTTTCTCATCGCTATTTGTCTGATCTCGTTTCTTAATGTGTGCCTTGTTCTGTAATTATGTCTTTCTGCAGGTGTCATCAAGGGTATTAAGTGGTTAGAGGGTGACAATGCAACATACGAGTCGCCAGTCAGTGTTAACAACTACGCCCGCGTTTACGGTCTGATCAGAGATCAGAACGACGAGCCTTACGTCCTTATTGTCAACGTTCAGCCGATGGAGCACCTGAATGAGCTGCTGACCCACATCATGGAAGTTACTTTGATGTGTCTACAGGGAGAGAAGATGGTGAACAAAGTGGCCACCAACGATTCATCCTATGCCAACAACTCCATTAGAAATACCAGTGCCAATGGTACAGCTGGCAATACTTCTATGGGTGGTGGTGGTGGAGGTGGCATGGGATCAGGTCTTACTGAGAACCAGCAGCTCATTCTCCAAATAATACAAAACAGTGATCCAGAGTATGGAGCAGAAAGAGACGCCATTAAACAACGCGTGCCACCACATCTAGTTTCTAGAGTTGATGAGATTATCGAGTTCCTGTCCGGTGAAGGCCACATTTACACCACCAAGACAGACGACTTTTTCAAGGCTATTTAAGTTTATTTTAATTTTTGTTTAGTCTAGTGGATTCAAAGGTTGTTTTGTTATTAATTCGTAACTTTTGTACTCCACGTTAATTTTAATCATGTAAATAATTTAACAAAAAAAAAACTTTACTCTCGTGCCGTTGTACATATTTATGCAATCGAATTTTTCTAATCCGTTGCTAAGCTTCAACTTAAGTACTGTGTACATTTGTATCGGGTATCATTTGCACTTTATACTCAATAAAAACGTTCACAAGTGACAAAAAACTGATATTTGAGTAACGGTTTATTTGTTTTAATAACGATAAGTTGATTTTTTATTTTTACAGGGTTTATTAAAAATGTAAAAAAAGTTGTAATTAACATACGTCAACATCCCAAAGTATTTCGGGTGGACTATATTATTTATAAACAGCGTTAATTGAAAAAAAAATTAATTTTGTAGCACGTGGCTTTTACTTGATTTAATTCAGTATTACAGGTATATGAATTATTCAAAAAAAATTATTTTTTTACTATTTTTATTAATATCAAAAAAAATCAATTGTTAAGCAAATAAATTAAGGACGTCACAATTTAGCGTCAAATATTGAATTACATGTATGTACATGAGATTTCTTGACTTTTTTTAAAATACTTAGCAAGTCCTATTATCTTATAGTTACAACGGTTTATTTTTTATGTCATTTTCCAAAAGTGTTCTAGTTTAAATAATTTGAAAACATCATTACACTATGATACAAAACTTAAATTAACCAGAGTGAAAATCGTATGCCCCCCTGCCCCCAATAGATTACACATCTCGATCTAGACCTTAATAATCCACCGAATTTTTTGGTCATTCTGGACTTAAACAGGAGGGATTAAAAAGTAAAATTTGCCGTTCGCAGTAAATTCAAGCCCTATATTTTACAGCTTGACGGTGGGGCGAAAAGATCCTGCACAGCTCGCTGACCGGCTTGATCGGTGTCCCAGCGTAGCCCTTCAAGCTCTTCCTGTTCATAATAGACGACTTTGACCTGCTGACCTGGAGATTGTCGCTCGACACTTTGGGCTCACTTACACGATATTTCTTCTTTTTGGCCACGTAGTGCGTCCCCGTCACGGACAGGCCAACCACCGACTTGGACCTTTGGGGCATCGGGCGGTGGCTCACCGGCATCTTCGCTGCAACCTTGGATGACTCCTGCGACTGGATGGTACACGCCATCTCGACCCTACAACTGCTGCCGTGGCTTACACTGAAGCTGCTTACGCTACTCGAAATTCCAGCCAGACTCTGTTTACTTTTCCGGATGACCGGCTGCTGCACTGGTCGTTTGCAGTTGTTGGCATCGATCGGCTGCAGGGGTCTTCTCGGTGGTAACGGTTTTCCCGTTTGTTTGGGGTTCTTCAGGATCCAGTACTTGGACTGGTGGACACCGCTGCATCTGCCCACGGAGCTCGATTCGTTTTTCTGGACGACCGGCTGCTGCGGGAGCTTACTGGTGATCGCGTTACCACCTTGGTCAGGTCTCCCGGGGATCTTAGTGGCCGACTTTGCGGGGAGACTTCGCAGAGGACGCGGCAGCTTACTCCTCCTAACGTTGCCCCCAATCTGTACCTTTGATTCGTTAGCATCGGTGCTCTCATTTACCAATGCCAACGAGTCCTGAGACTCGTTCTTGCACGTTGACGCGGGCGGATTGTCAAAGATTTTCGCAAGCTTATGGGGATTAAGCAATGGGCCGTCTAAATCGTGCAAATTAAAGCACCTGCGCCTTGGAGTCGCTGGCACGTGGAGGCTGTTGACTTCTGATGGATCACAAGGATTACTGTGCAGGAAAGAAGGAAAAAAGTATATGATGTATTGTAATTTTATGAGAAAGAACAACTGACGAAAGCCTTGATAGTATGTACCTTATTATCGGCGACGGCGTGTGCGACCTGCAGTCGAAGAAGACGTCGTCATCGGATTCTAAATAAGCGTCAAAAATCACGTTTGGGGTGTACGGAGACGAGTTCTCGGAGGATGTCGAAGACATATTGTATATCAATATAAATAATATGTTATTTGATCCTTTCGTCGTTGACCAGAGTCAGAACGTAACTACAATCATCGCAAGATTTTGACCACCTACATTTACATTTCAAGTGCGGATGTAACGAACAATACGTGTATTGTTCACATACAGTTTGATTTTCAGTATTTATACTATTGATAGTAAATGTAAATAAATATAAACTTACCTATGAGGCGCCTCTTATCTCTCGTTCTTGCGAATTCATTGGAAAGGAAAAATTTCCTAAATACGTACCTTCTAATTTTGCTGACTCGATCGAGAACTTATTATATGCATGACTAAAATTTTTTTTTTTAATTACCAACTCATAGGGAATTTTGGTACTTTTTTAACAGTTTGCAGATTATCTCATCACTAATGTTTATCGATCGATAGATTTAAAACTTTTTTCAATTGAGCCAATGACGGGATTTTTCATGAAAAAAATAAATTGGTCCAACCGGGCCAAAAAGTTCGAAAACTTTAACTGTATTTCCACATTCCAGATTTAATTATTATCCTTTTTGACCGATTTTAGGACGATTTTTTAGGTCAATCTTTTTGTACAGCACTTAAAGTACAAAAAGGTACTTTTCTCTGTTGGTTTTTCAAAAATCAGTAGCTATTTTTCTCTACACGTGAGATCAAACTTTTTTTTTTACATAAGCTCTCAGCTCGCAGGAATAACTTTTTAATCTTAAAATTGATGTTCCAATATTTACTGATTTAGTTGAAGTTATTTGCACACGTTGCAGTTGACTTGTGTACCAAAATATGGTTTCGATGGAAAAATGTTTGCCCTTGATTTTTTATCCACTGACTGTTGCAAAAACAACGAGTTCTCGTTGCAAAAGCAGTGCTCATTCAGCTTCTGGATGAATTTACTTGGAGCTTGATGTCATAATGTATATATGCGCTCTATGTCGAAACTGTTTGACGAAATATGACAAGCACGAAATGAAAAGTTTTTACATTTTTGTGTTACAGTGGAATATATACATTTATTCCATAAAATTGAACTGTATCACAATTTACCTTTTTTCACGAGTACTAAAGATTGAAGCTCATGATAGAAGAGCATACACTTCGCTATTACCAAAAATTATTATAAGTTATACCTCGATAAGAAAAATTTATACGAGTCCACAAATCAAAGCGTACAACTTATAGAGCTTATTTCCATTCTGATCATATTTTTTTTACAGAAAAATAGAGCCATGTCCATTTCATCTGATTCAACAAGGTTTCATTTCAACTACGGTTCGCATTGATATGGAGTAAACATATACGATGAGTCTATAGAAAAAATTACGAGTTTTCACGATCCCAATGAATTTGAATTTGAAAATTATTAAGTACGCGGTGATCGCCATCTTGCGCTGAGCAGATGACGTCAAGGAGCGTTTACACGACTACAAGGGCCGTCTGCAAAACACACATGCACACCATAATTATTAATCTGACTTTTTTTTAACAATGAATTCGATAATTTTATTAAAATTACATATTAAAATAAAACTAATGTATTTATATGCATATCTTATGTGAGTCGGTTCGAGGTATAAATTCTTGTTTGCCGAACTCCGTGTAAACACACCTCAAAGCTGCGCAAGAAGGATACACAATATATTTATGCAGCAAAAAGTACCGACAGTTTATAAACAGACAGCCCCATCAGTAGTCAGTCGTCCACTTATACATGTAATTAAATTATTTATCGTTAACGAGAGTATATTATAAATACGGTTCTCGTGTCTTAGTCAAACAAGAAATGGGAGAAGAAAGGGGTAATTGTTGCTTGTCGTGCTCAAATTGAAAATTTTAATTAAAATCATCCATCCATCCTCACTTTACTGTGTGCATGTTTTTCAGCTCTAATCTACAAACGAGATAAAGCTCTCAAAAACAAAAATGAAAACGCAAAAGTACTCTCCGTCGTTCAGAAAAAACTGGGTGACATTTATTTCTACAGGAACAATTTTGATGATGCACTGGAAGCTTATCAAAGTCAGCTCGAAGCCTGCGAGCACATGGGAGACAAGCTCAACTGTGCCATAGCTCATCGATTAATTGGAGAAGTCTATTTTAGTAAAGAAAAATACGAGGTTGCTCTTTATCATCAGAACTTGTATTTAGGTAAACGTTGAAAGGAGTAAGATTTAACTTGAAAGTAAATCCTAACTTTTTGAATGTCTTCCATTGCAGATTTAGCTCTGGAGCTGAAAAACCTAATAGAAGAACAAAGAGCCTATGCTACATTAGGTAGAACGTATTTGTGTATAGCAGATAATTTAATTAAAGATTCCGAGAAGGATGAAAAGATGAAAAACGTGAATGAGGCAAACAGAGCATTTTCAAAAAGCATCCAACTGTGCGAAAAGTGAGTATGCTTACGAAGAAAATAAATTACAAATGTTACTCTAGGAAAAAAAAAAAAAAAAAAAAGTATTAAAATGTTTTCTCAGGTTAGAGGGACAAATAAGTGAAATTGAACTCATGACTATGAGGGCGAGACTGCTGCTGAATCGTGGACTTGTCAATGAGCATAAAAAAAAAATAGAGAAGGCTTTAGAAATGTTAAACGTTGCCGAGTCTTTGTGTGAAAAATACAAATTGTCCGAGGACAATCATAGAACGAAAATTGCTCTAGCTGGCCTGTACGAGCGTTATGAGCACTTGAAAGATCTAAAGCTTGCCCTAAAAAAATTAGATGAGGCAGCCAACGTTGAAGATGCCAACTTGAAGAACACTGCACATCTTTTGAAGGCAGAATTGTTATTGAGGATGGGAAAATGGTCGGAAGCTAAGAAATTGTTACTCAAACTGTACAAAAATGAAAAACTGTTGGAACCTGACAGACAACAAGTTTCCAAGCAATTAAGAAAAGGTATACTAGACTATTTTTCAACCCAGTTTCAATTTATACCTGATTAATTCTTTATAAATGTTATGAAAATTTGTTACAGCCGTCGTGTTGGCACGAAATGATCTCGAGTTGTCGATAGAAACAGACGATACAGTTAAAGAAAAAATTTATGAAACGATGGGCGATGCGGCGACAGCCGTGCGCTCTTTCGACAAAGCCATAGAGTACTATGGTAAAATGCTCTCGTTTGCCGAGAAAAACCAAAGTTCCCGGGTCGGCGCTGCATTAACCAGTTTGGTCATGACGTTCAAAGACGCCGGCAAGTTCAAAGATGCCATACCTTACGCACGTCGGGAGCTGGCCTTGTGCACCGACTTCAGGGACACCTGCACTTCGGCGCTAGGCCTTGCTGGCATCTTGGAAGACGCTGGTGGAGATCTCGAGGAAATTCGCGAAATGTATGACAAAGCGCTTGCTTGTGCAAAAGATAGCAACGACCTCAGTCTCCAGAAGATGGTACTTACAGAGCTATTGGAGTACCAGCGTCGGATTAACAATCAAACGGAGGTCGCCCAATTGACAAAGGAACTAGACGCTCTGCCTTACATTGAGTCTCAAGAGATTCAGGAAGAGGATTCGCCGGATGTCGGTGCAGACATCGATCTGGATGAGCTTTCGGATTCGGATGCCGAGCAGGAACAGAAAGAAGAGGAGGAAAAAGTTATGGGGCATCAGTTAAAGAATGTGAGCAGACATAGATTCAAGAGACCCAGACTCTTCAAGCCAAACGAAAAGGGCGAGACTCCGTTACACCTTGCCTGCATAAAAGGTATAGAAGCTGCGGAAAAGAGATTGAATCAAAATGTTGTGAAAATTTCGAGTTTTTCAAAAGAAGGTTTAATTTTCAGGTGACGTATCCAAGGTGGAATACTTACTGGAGGAAAAGCACCCAACGTTAGTAAAGGACAATTTTGGCTGGACGCCTCTCCATGAAGCCTCGAATCACGGCTTCACGGAAATCGTGGATCTCCTCATCCGCCACAAAGCTGATATAAACAATCAATGTGACGGTGTCACACCTTTGCACGACGCAGCGGCTAACGGGCATTTTTCGGTAATTCGATTACTGCTGGAAAATGGGGCGGATCCAAATTTGCTGACCAAAGTGGGTGAAACGGCACTAGATTGTTTGGAGCAGTGGAAAGAGCGCATAGACAATTTAACGTCAAGAGATCTAAAAGAGTACGAGGATGTACGGAAGAAGCTTATGAAGATAACGACTGTGACTAGTAAAAAGAAGAAGGCGAAAATCAGTAGTAATCGCAGCAGGAGTGCCCTTATCGATGAGGATGCTGATGACAGTGATGAAATCATTGGTGAGAGTTTTTTTTGTTTTTTTTTTTTCTTGTTTAAATGTTGTTTACTATGATTTTTCTTTTTTCATGACCAGCGCCGTCAACAATAGATACATGGGAGCAACCAAAAAAAATATCCATGGGAGAAGTATACAAGCAGACGATAGCAAATTTGCAGCCGTCAAACCGACTAGCTGCGCCTCTAAAACCAATCCACCAATTGCCGAAAATAACAGCACCACTCATTGACAGTGATGAGCTGTTGGTCAATGAGTGGCTCGAAGATGACATTGGCATCTCGCATCAAGGACGCGAAAGGCCTTACTTCAATGGTGTTCCTCAAGGCGTCACAAACAGTTCCACAAATAATATTAAAAGGAAATCTGTGACAGATATTGATGTCGAAATCGAGGTTGACAAGAGCAGTAAGAGATCAAAACTCGTGAGTTACATTTTTTTTTTTTAACATAAAAGAGAACGTGGCTGGTATGATGATTTTATCAATTACATTGGTTTTTAGTCTGACGAAAGCTGTTTAATGATCACCGACGAAAGCAGCAATGGGAGCGACGCAATTGTGGACGACCCGTTCGACACAGCCATATGGCCAAAAACTAAGAAAGCCCGCCAGCTAAGTCTTTTCAAGCAAGGCTTCACGAAGAGTAACGTTGTTTCAAAATCTCCTTCACCCATTACAGTAAAATCAGTTAGTCCCGAACCTGCCGTTTACACATCTAGTCTTTCGAGATCGGAGTACGAGAGGCGGTCTTGGGAATCGTCGATGAGTGAAACTTTCGATCTTGAGATCACTCTCGATGGTGAACTTTTTGAGCTTAAACTTCACTATCGAGATTTAAGGTAAGTTCAATGGTTCTTTTTTTTTTTTTTTTTTTTATTTCGTGGTTATTTTTTGAAAGCTAAAAAGGGTGTCATCGTTTTTAGAAAAACAATGAACGACATAGAGGAGCTGATAAGGCACAAATTTGAAGCTAAAACCGGATGCAGACCTAAGATAAGGTTCAAGACGATTGAAGGGGTCGCACTTTCGGCCGAAGTTACGCTTGAAGGAGTACCCAAGGATAAAAATAAATTGAAGCTATTTGGTGAAATTACGCAAAATGAGCTGCCGCCAATTGCGGATAGATATAAAAAGGTTTGCGAGACCCTTGGCGTAGGTAAGTCACTTATCAGGTTGAAAGAATACATATTAAATATTATTGAGGGTCTCTAAAACTATATTATTACTACTGTTACAGATGTTACTGATTTGATGTTGAAATCTTTGCGCAGTTGCGAGAATACTTCGACTTTCCGTCTGAACACGTCCAACGTTTTTGTAGAGGAGGAACTTGAGCCGCTGATCAAGTGTCTCCACTATCAGCTAAACCTTCAGAGTATCAATCTATCAGGTGCAACTTTTTTTGCACGGGGCGATTTGTTAAATCTAACCATCTCAAAATTAAGTGGACTGTGTGAACTACACCTCCAAGGCTGTGACATCGATCAAGAGTGCTTGGAGCAGGTTGAAAAACTTCCTGCTGCATTGCGAGTTTTGGATCTATCATACAATCCTCTAGGAAGTAAAAGCCAAGAAAAGCTCTTAAAATTGATCGAGCCGTTAGAGAGATTGCAAACGCTCAATTTGAGGGCTTGCGAACTTGACGACTTCAGGTGAAATGTTTTTCGAAACAGCACAAACAGTAGTTTGCTAGTACTAAGAAAATAAACTAATTTTTTTTTTTTTTTAATTTCCACAGGTTTAAATTCACATGCAGGTCTTTGATAAACCTAGATATCTCGTGGAATGCGATCGGCGGCGACGGTGCAGCGAACCTTTTGCAGCGGCAGTTGCTCAGCTTGAATCTATCCAATACGCTCTCTAATCGCAGCAACGTCATCGACAAGCTGTTCTTCAACGAATCTGAGGTTTGTTGGTAATAAAAAACATTCGATTGAACGCGATGTTACCATATAATATAACATTGCTACATCACAATTACAGGGTTACTCATACAGCACACTAGAGTATCTGGATTTAAGCTCGTGTCAAGCGACGGACTTTGACGTCGAGAAAATCCTTTCGAAAACGCCGAATCTTACAAAGCTCATTTTAAATAACAATCCCAATGTCACACAAACGTCCTTGTCTGCAATTTTAATACGAAAACCGACCTTAAATTACATAGATTTAAGCGGATGTAAACTCATTGAAGATCCGCCTCCAACTAACTTACGAATCGCCACACCCCAAGTCTGCACTTTACTTGTACATATGAACTCTTTGGTCGTGGACTCATGGGAAGTTTTGTGGCAAGGCAAAAGCAAGACAAAGAGACTGCCCGATTCATTTGTGATATTCAAATCGCCTTAAAATTTGATTTTTCTCTTGCTTATGTACATAGTTTAGTCAGTATTACTAAAAAGTTGAACAAAAATGAATGTTAAAACTTGAATTCACTGTAAAAATGTGTTGAAAACATTGTGTTGACGCATTATAAAATTTATAATGTAAGTATTTTGTATAAAAAAATATATTTTATTAAATATTTATACAGAAGTTTTAAAAACTTAATTACCTTAAATTAAATGTATAGAGTTTGTTGCCGATTTTGCACTTCAACGAATCGACTTGCACAAAATGATGTTCTGGATGGTTTGTTAAAAATTCGTGAAAGTTTGACGTTAACTTGGGTAGCAGAGTTTCCAAAATTTGTTTATGATCACCAACGCACCACCAAATGCTCACGTGAAACAATGCATCCTAAATTGAAAAAATTTAAATTGAGTTTTTATGTTTGAAAAATTTTACTTTTTTTGAGTAGGAAAAGCAAATAATCAAGTATGCATTAATTTCTACTAGGAAAACCGTTTTTTCAGCAAATAAATTCTTCACTTGAACGTTATCTTGATCAGAGTATAATTTTGTAAGTGTAAAGGAGTGATTAATTATGACAAAAATTAAATTTGAATGATACACGTCTAAATGAAAATTATTCAAATTAATTTTTATACATACCTCGTAAAACGGAGGTAACTGATATTCATCCAAAAGCTTGTTTAGAGTACCAGTCAAACTTCCCAAGGAATTATTTGTACTTTGAACAGTAATGCCCAGAAAAGTCCGAGTTTTGTCATCATTACAATACACCTTGATACCGTTTAGTTCCATAACAAAGCCAGGGTAGTTTCTGGCAATGTTTTTCACAGCCTCAACGAAAGAATCAATCCAATGAAATTTTAGTATCAAAGTACGTGTTAGACTCACATGGAATTCTTCAAAAAGATTACCTGTTTTGAGAATTTCGCCAACAGTATTTTTCATCCACTGTAAAATTTCTTCGCTTGGATCATCTACAAAATATAAATTGATAAGACTACAATTGTTCATTTTCTAGGATTAGAAAGTAATAATAAAATACAAACTTACAATCGAGGTACACAAGGCTTGCCCAATTTCCTCTTTCATGTTTGAAAGACCTGATTCTTCCTTGATGTTTCAAAGGATCATCTACAACATCTGTATGATGTTCAACTCCTTTTAGAGACAAAATAGATTCCGGCAAGGGTAATCTCGAGCTTAAACCACGAAACAATTATTAAGCACAGCATCTTGTACACTCAAACACAACTCAAGTTTTATAAGTAATAATTAAAAATATTATAAGTGCAATAACAAAGTAATAATACATCTGTTAAAAAGTATACTTACGGTTTTGCCACATTAAAACCCGTTTGGTTTTCTTCATTGGAATTTTTAGCCTCATCGTCGGTATCTGACGAATACTCTTGTATTAAATTCAATCCAGCCATGGTAAATTCTTTTGCAAAAGAAAATTGAAAAGGAACAAATGCAACCACATTATATGTTTAATACTGTTTGATGACTATACTTCATACTCCAAACTCCAAAAAACAAGAACGTAAACATAACCCCCCTCTCTCACCTACATCGAAACATATGCGTGTGTGTGCGCGTCAAAAACATTTGCGGTTTGCGCGCAATACTAATATAAGCGCGATATGCGGTAGTTGAGTTAAGAGCCTAATTTATTTATTAAAGTAAAGTTACTGGGCAATCACACGTACTTTTATCAAGATGTAAAATTAGAAAAGGAGTTGTTTATGCAAACTGATGTGAATACTCACTTTGTGGGAAAAGTTACGCGTTTTGAAAAGAAAAAAAAACTGTTAGTAACCACATCCATTAAATCATAACATTATTTAATATTAGTATATTACAGGATATGTTGATATTTTATGATGAAATGATATAATTAAATCAAGAGTTTAATGCTACATAATAATCCAAACTTTTTTTTTTCATAAAAATTATAGTTTTTGTCAAAGTAAAATAGTATTTTTAATTTTTTTACATTGTGTACGTATAAAAAACAATGATTAAAAAATATGAAATTTCAAGATTTTCTATTAAAAATCTTATCTAATCAATATCATCGATGTATTAATTAATTACAATTGTATGTTCAATAGATATTTTTTTAGTATACATACAAAAAAAGAATAAGTTGGACTCAAAAGGGGTTTTCAAGAAAAAAAAAAANATTATGACAAAAATTAAATTTGAATGATACACGTCTAAATGAAAATTATTCAAATTAATTTTTATACATACCTCGTAAAACGGAGGTAACTGATATTCATCCAAAAGCTTGTTTAGAGTACCAGTCAAACTTCCCAAGGAATTATTTGTACTTTGAACAGTAATGCCCAGAAAAGTCCGAGTTTTGTCATCATTACAATACACCTTGATACCGTTTAGTTCCATAACAAAGCCAGGGTAGTTTCTGGCAATGTTTTTCACAGCCTCAACGAAAGAATCAATCCAATGAAATTTTAGTATCAAAGTACGTGTTAGACTCACATGGAATTCTTCAAAAAGATTACCTGTTTTGAGAATTTCGCCAACAGTATTTTTCATCCACTGTAAAATTTCTTCGCTTGGATCATCTACAAAATATAAATTGATAAGACTACAATTGTTCATTTTCTAGGATTAGAAAGTAATAATAAAATACAAACTTACAATCGAGGTACACAAGGCTTGCCCAATTTCCTCTTTCATGTTTGAAAGACCTGATTCTTCCTTGATGTTTCAAAGGATCATCTACAACATCTGTATGATGTTCAACTCCTTTTAGAGACAAAATAGATTCCGGCAAGGGTAATCTCGAGCTTAAACCACGAAACAATTATTAAGCACAGCATCTTGTACACTCAAACACAACTCAAGTTTTATAAGTAATAATTAAAAATATTATAAGTGCAATAACAAAGTAATAATACATCTGTTAAAAAGTATACTTACGGTTTTGCCACATTAAAACCCGTTTGGTTTTCTTCATTGGAATTTTTAGCCTCATCGTCGGTATCTGACGAATACTCTTGTATTAAATTCAATCCAGCCATGGTAAATTCTTTTGCAAAAGAAAATTGAAAAGGAACAAATGCAACCACATTATATGTTTAATACTGTTTGATGACTATACTTCATACTCCAAACTCCAAAAAACAAGAACGTAAACATAACCCCCCTCTCTCACCTACATCGAAACATATGCGTGTGTGTGCGCGTCAAAAACATTTGCGGTTTGCGCGCAATACTAATATAAGCGCGATATGCGGTAGTTGAGTTAAGAGCCTAATTTATTTATTAAAGTAAAGTTACTGGGCAATCACACGTACTTTTATCAAGATGTAAAATTAGAAAAGGAGTTGTTTATGCAAACTGATGTGAATACTCACTTTGTGGGAAAAGTTACGCGTTTTGAAAAGAAAAAAAAACTGTTAGTAACCACATCCATTAAATCATAACATTATTTAATATTAGTATATTACAGGATATGTTGATATTTTATGATGAAATGATATAATTAAATCAAGAGTTTAATGCTACATAATAATCCAAACTTTTTTTTTTCATAAAAATTATAGTTTTTGTCAAAGTAAAATAGTATTATTAATTTTTTTACATTGTGTACGTATAAAAAACAATGATTAAAAAATATGAAATTTCAAGATTTTCTATTAAAAATCTTATCTAATCAATATCATCGATGTATTAATTAATTACAATTGTATGTTCAATAGATATTTTTTTAGTATACATACAAAAAAAGAATAAGTTGGACTCAAAAGGGGTTTTCAAGAAAAAAAAAAATACAATGAGTATATGTATAGCCATTTAAACTAATTGTTATAACAAATTATAAAAAAAAATTTGTATCGTAAATGAACAGATAATACGGGGGATGTTGGAGCTGCTGCAGAGATCCCGAATATGGGATGGGGGTAGCGAAGGGTCTTTAAGGATAGTGAGGGGACGTGGCCCACGTGGGGAGTAACGGAAAAAATAATTTTCCGCCCTTGGGTGGTTTTGGGAGGCTGTTACTTCCTCGGGTGAAAAAGCAGTTTTCCGGAACTCGTTCGAAAAGTCTCCTTTACGAACCTCGTTACGTCCCTCGGCTTNGGCCTCCTCTACCCATGGGTAGGTCCTCGGGTAGGTCAGAGCTAGTGTGCACACAACTCTGACGACTGAAAAACTAATTCGGCTATATATACTAACCAAGTACTTTTTTCGCCACTCACGGGAACGGCACCGGAGCCACGCGGTTGGAGACGGAATGACAATAGCAGTGTTGTCTATCCATTGTCGATAACCAATTAATAATAGTATGGTAGGTGACCGGTAACCGCTAATAGAACGCTGTAGTATACCTATATGTGGCAAAAGGCACGACATATGTATAAACTCACCAAAAGGAGGCCAAACATCGACGGCCAATCAAGTCACGTTTCAAAATAGTAACGCATCACTTTTTCAGGTGGTAGGTTCGGGAGTTAGTGTCTTTCCAGGGGATCCTAAATATAGCATACTAGTAAAACATGGTAACATAAAATTGCTTTTTTGACTTATTTATGTTTGTACTTATTAGATAAATCTTTTTTTAAAGATAACATTTAGTTTGAAGACCATTATCATCATGTAAGTGATTAAATATTAATCAATGAAGTTTTTGATGGTCATATTTTTCCAGAGTAGAAACAAATCAAGTAACATTAGTCTTAATTATACGTGTAAGCTCTACTAATTGCATATTTTTCCCGCAATTTAATGTAATTTATCAATGAAAAATCCCACCAAACAATACACTTGACCTGTTTCAATCAATCACGTAACGAATAAAAAAAGGCACGTGACCATCAATATCTATTATGGTAGGAGATCACAAGGAGACTTTTTACAACTTTTTTTTTGTGTATCGTTAGTATGTCCACGTCAACAATGTCAATTACAGCAATGTCTAATTGCAATAACCTGCGTTATTATTAATTTATTGGGTATTATTCTGTGCAAAAGTATAAATGCTTGAACAACACGATTGTTCGCGCTCGTCGTGAGACTATACTAGTAAAGCGTGTCTCTAATTGGCGGTTCGAGTGATGAAAAACTCCAGAACCTACGCTCACATTGGGCGTTTGATATCAAGGTGTATTCGCACGACACCGAAGGAAATTTTGCATCCAATGCACCTTTGTGGTCGATACAAATCCATATAAGTAATGCACGGGACGATGAGGTCTAAAATTTCTTCTGTACTAGAGTACTTACGTATTTATTTTTCGCCTAGACGACTCGCCATCGCCACTTGCATCAAGACTGCGTGGGCTCTTCTTCTTTATTCTTCACAATAGGTATATCATACAAAGCTGCAATTGTCGATTTCTGCATTAGTTCGTACAATCCTTTATTTGTTATGTAAAAGGGCAGTATACGCATAACTTCTAGAACGAATGAATGACAGTGAGCCCTTGTGGTGCTTCGAAATATTTTTTTTTTTTTTTTTTCGAGCCCTGTTTTTGTCACCTTTTTTTATTTATTTCACAATCTCACATACCTACTTATTCATGCATATTTTAGCTCTTTATTCAATTTAAACCTATCGCTTGTATTTTGCACACACACATGTAGCTTTGCTGCACATACTAGAATCGCTATTGGGATTCCAAAAGGTCACGTGACTCTCGCGGTATATATAGTCACGTAAGGAAAAAATAACGCAGGCCTTGTGGGTGCAATTGTATTTTTATTTTTTTTACACGTTGAACGATTGTACTACGACGAAAGTCTTTCAATAATATATTTTTGAGGAGATGACAATACCTTAGCTATTTTTCCCTAACTCAATTAGTTTTTTGCAGCTTAAAACTTTCTTTTGAAAGTGCGAAAACACACATTTAACCTGTACAAATCCCTCCCGCCGCTGCTTATATATAGGTGTATAAACATGACTTTTGTACAGGTTAAATCACGGTGTAAGAATAGACAGGTGGGCCGAAGGCCCACCTCCACGTATTGTAGAAAAAGTCACAATTATGTAGCAGTATCTAAGTTTGCCGCTAGGTGGATCAGTGTTGAAAAGGTAGCAGCTAGCAGACGGGCAGACTTACAAACGATTGTATTATTTATTATTGTAGACATATACATGGTACACTGTCCCACACGCAGAATTGATACATTAAATCGTTTTTTGGCTGCTTTTATAAAATGGTCAATAAGTGCTGCATAAAAAAGTGTCGTGTTAAAAAAAACGATAAACTATCTGTTTTTCGAGTACCAAAGAATGAGGCATTATTCAAGAAATGGGTCCATATCCTGTCACTCGTAGATGTAGTTTTGACAAAAAATAGTTTTGTTTGTGAAAACCACTTTGAAAATCATGACTTAATAAAGGAAAAAATAATCACCGACACCAGTGGAAAAGTACTATTTCATGTAAGCTAAGTTGAATAATTCTGTTTTCTAACCTCAAAAATGTCACAATTTGCTTTAAATTTGTGTTATTTACTAATAAACTGTTTTAGACTAATTTGAAGAAGAGACATTTGTCAGAATCGGCTGTACCTACAATCTTTGGCTCTAAAAGAATCAAGATCGATGACACGAGTGGATCTATTGAAGTGTCCACTGAGAATGCAGGTACTGAAAGTTTATCACCCAGCTAAAAATTATTCATCAGAACTGACATAAGAACTTACATAAGAACTTACATAAGAACTTACATTTGCTTTTCAACCAAGAACTGACATAAGAACTTACATAAGTTCTTATGTCAGTTCTCATGTGAAAAAAAAACTTAAAGAAAATTTTCTTTAAAAAATCTAAAAATAAACTTTTATCACGGTATAACCGTCGCATTAGGTGTTATCATCCGTATGATAACACCAAAACTGGGGAGTTCAAGTACTTTAACGGAATTTTTCAAAAAATTAAAATTTTGAAAAATAAAAGAAATTTAGCTAATTTTTTGAAAAATTCAATTAAAGTACTTGAACCCCCCAGTTTTTATGTTATTATACGGATGATAACACTTATCGCAACGGTTATACCGTGATAGAAGTTTATTTTTAGATTTTTTAAAGAAAATTTTCTTTAAGTTTTTTTTTCACATGAGAACTGACATAAGAACTTATGTAAGTTCTTATGTCAGTTCTTGGTTGAAAAGCAAATGTAAGTTCTTATGTAAGTTCTTATGTAAGTTCTGATGTCAGTTCTGATGAATAAT